CACTGATCCTATGCCTGGGATAATAAGGAAATACATCCAGGTTGAAAAGAAGTTATTATAAAAAAATGGACAAGCAAATTTATTATGATTTATTTATTCAATTAAAACTTTACTATGTATAAAGTTTATACAGCAGAATTTAATACATAGTAATATATTCAATTATCTTTAGAAAGTCAGGATGCAAGTTACAATGATTATGAATATAAAACATTCTGCGGAAGTGATTTATTTAGCCATTTTACTTTGAAGTCATTGTTTGAGAATCTGATGATCACTTTCCTTCACTTGATGGTCCATCAAAATATGAAATTAACAATTTATTTGACAGTATTTTCAAAAATGAGAAAAAAATGAAAACTTATTTATAATGAACAAGATATATTCATGAGCTTACTAACTGAATAATAGGTACATTATAATACATTTTGTCCTCTTGGACTGTAGGTATACTATCTAATATAAAATGCATGCTAAACAGGTGAATTCTACCAAACATTTAGAGTTAATACCTATCCTCAAACTATTCTAGAAAAACTTAAGAGAAAGGAATGCTTCCAAATTTATTTGATATGCCCAGAATTAACCTGATACTAAAATCAGACAAAAAACTCCTCCCCCCAAAATTACACACCAACATCCCTGGATGACCATAGAAGCAACCATCCTCAACAAAATATTATCAAATGGAATTAAACAATATATTAAAAGGATAATTCACCACTCTCAAGTGGGACATATTCCAGGAATGCAAGGATGGTTCAATATCTACAAATTGATCAGCCACGTTAACATAATGAAAGATAAAAGTCATATAATCACAGTAATACGTGAAGAAAAACCATTTGGCAAAATCCAACATCCATTCATGATAAAAACTATCAGCAAAGGGGATGTAGGAAGAACATGCCTCACCATAATAAAGGTTATTCATACTCCATGGTAAAAAGATCAAAGTTTTCCCTCTAAGATCAGGAAAAAGATAAGGATATTCACTCTCACCATTTTATTCAACAGAGTACTGCATGGAAGTCCTAGCTATAGCAATTGGTCAAGAAAAGAAATAAAGGCATCCAAATCAGGAGAAGAAAGTAAAACTGTCCATTTGCAGATAATGTGATCTTACATGTAGAAAATCCTAAAGACTCCACCAGAAACTAGAATAAAAGAATTCTGTAGAGTTGCAGGATACAAAATCAAGATACAAAATCTTTTGTTTCCATATATTAACTATTAGGAAGAGAAATTATTTAACAATCAAATTTATACTAGCATTATAAGAATAAAGTACTTAAGAAAAATTTTAACTAAGGATATGAAAGATCTTTACACTGAAAACTATAAAACACTGGCAAAAGAAATTGAAAAATCCACAAATAAATGAAAATCTATTCAGTGTTCAGTGTTGGAAGAATATTGTTTTAATTTCTATGCCACCCAAAGCAAACTACAGATTCAATGCAATCCCTATCAAAATACCAATAGATGGGAGGGGGAAAAAGATGGTGGCAGGAGAAATAAGGGAGAAACCTCCTCCCAAAACTATGTATAACACAAAAATACAGCAAATACAACTAATCCTGAAAAAGTGAACCAAAGACTGCAGATGAGACTGCCTATATCTGGGGAAAAGAGAAGACATCATAGAAATTGATAAAGCAGCAAAGCCATGATCCAGTGGAATCCAAGACCTCTGCCCACCCCTGCTCACAGGCAGGAGGAAGAGAAATGGAGCAGGGAGGGAGTAGAAGCCTAGGACCACTAAATACCCACCCCTAGAGATCTGCTCCAGGGGCACAAACCCACATCACATGGTGCACTGAAGATTAGATGGGTTGGAAAGCAAAGACAGAATAGTTAGAGAGACTGAGAGTCCACAACTTGTGGAGTACAGGTACCCACAATTGGCTGCTCCAGGACAAAAGAAAGGTGAGCAGTTTGGAAGACTTCCCAACAGTGAGTGGGATGCAAAAGGGGCAAGGTTACAAAGAACTTGCTGCTCAGGAGAAAGGACAGGTGGACAAAATCATCCTGGCACACTCAGCCCAGCAGGTTGGGAACTTCCAGGAGCTTCAGACACTCCATCCCCCTGGCTGGAAATGCAGCACTGAGGCCCCCCCACTGTGATACGCAGCCTGCTGCTCCTTCCTCCAAGTGAGCACAGGTCCACAGATTGGCTGCCCCTTCCATCATGCCAGGACAGCTGGAGGGTGGCCCTGCATATGGCAGCTATGTAACAAAAAGACTCCAACCTAAGCACTTGGCCCACTGGACCTGGCAGTAGAGGCAGGTACTGCAGCCAGAAAGCAGGAAAGAGCTCTTTCCTCCTGGCAGGCAACAGCACCAAATACCTAGGACCCCACCACCACTCCAGGTGCTGGGTAACTCTGGAGAGCAGAGCTTCAGGGCACTAGAGGGCAATGCCTACACAAAGTTATTATTCCATATTGTTCAGTAGGAATGTGGAAAGGCAAAATAACTTGTTCAAATGAAATCATTCAACCAGAAAGAGGGCTCAGTGAAACTGAAATCACCAATCTTCTTCATAAAGATTTCAAAATAAAAATAATAAAATGCTCATGGAGCTTCAGAACAATATTCAAGATCTCAGTGACAACTTCAAGAAAAAGAGAAACTTTGAAAAATACAGTATGTGAAATGAAATATACAATGGAGGGATTTAAAAGTAGAGTAGATGAGGTAGAGGAGACAATAAATGGAATGGAAATTGAGAACAGAAAAACAAAGAAGCTGAGGCACAGAGAGATAAAAGGATCTCTAGGAATGAAATACTATTAAGAGAACTGTGTGATCAATTCAAAAGGAAAAATATTCACATTATAGGGTCCAAGAAGAAGAGAGAGAAAAAGGGATATAAAGTCTCTTTCATGAAATAATTGCTGACTACCCCAATCTGGGGAAGAAAACAGTCTTGCAGGTTATGAAAGTGCAGAGATCTCCCAACACAAGAGATGCTAGGAAGACAACACTAAGACATATAATAAATAAAATGGCAAAGAACAAGGACAAGGAGAGAATATTAAAAGTAGCCAGAGACACAAAAAAAGATCACCTATAAAGGAAAGCCCATCAGGCTATCATCAGACTCTCAGCAGAAACCTTACAGGCCAGAAGAGAGTGGCATGATATGTTTAATGCAATGAAACAGAAGAGCCTCCAACCAAGAATACACTACCCAGCAAGATTATCATTTAACTTTGAAGCAGGGATTAAACAATTTCCACATAAGCATAAATTGAAGGAATTTATCGTCCACAAAATGTCTCTACAGTGTATTTTAAAGGGACTGCTCTAGATGAAAGTGCTCCTAAGGCTAAATAGCTGTCACCAGGGTAAATAAAACCACAGTAAAGAAAGTAGACCAAGGAATTACTAAGCAAATGCAAAATAAATCAGCTACCCAAAAAGTCAGTCATGGGATACATAAAGAGTACAGAATATGACACCTAACATGTAAAGAGGGGAGGAGGAAGAAAAAGAAGGGAGAAAAAAAAAGAATCCTCGGATTGTGTTTATAATACCACAATAAGCAAGTTAAGTTAGACTGTTAGATAGTAAAGAAGCTACCCTTGAACCTTTAGTAACCATGAATCAAATGTCTGCAATGGCAATAAGTACATTTCTACTGACAATCACCCTAAATGTAAATAGACTGAATGCACCAATCAAAAGACAGAGTCACTGAATGGATAAAAAAGCAAGACCCATCTATATACTGCCTATAAGAGACTCACTTCTACATAGCAGATACATATTGCTACCTTGAATTACCTGCATTCCCTACACTTTCTGGTGCTCTACTTGTGTTCAGACTGTTCCCTCTGGTAGATATGCAAGTGTATTTGTATACATATATATATATATATATATGTATGTTTATGTATATGTGTATATAGAGAGTGTATATATCTTAATATACATTAATACATAGGTATTAAAATGATTACATTTTAAGGAAAAGAGCATTAAGCAACTAAACTATAAACTATATAAGCTGTGTAAGATATATTATGTATGAATAGGTCATATTTATGCATAGAAAAGCACTAGAATAATATATAATACTAATAGTAATTACCTCTAGAGGGTGTAATCCTGCCAAAAATTTCAATACCCAAGTTAAATCCCGTCTCTTCTATAAAATCTTCCATAGCTCCCTAATCAGAATAGCTTTCTTCCTCCAATATTACCAAAGTACTTTGCTTATATTTCTATAATTACATTAAGCTTCCTCTTCTGGATCAATTACTTAAATATAGGTCCTTCTCCACTACACAGTGAACACCTAGCCTTATTATCTTTTCATATTTCTTCTCACGATACTTGATACAGAAAAATGTCTATTTGAAACAGATTAATCACTGTTGAGTTTATACATCAATCAGTTATTAGAAAACATCCTATGCCTAACATAAAAGGTCATTTAATTAATTTTCTGCTAACCTTTTGACTGAAGAATTGTTAGAGAATGTTGTAAGAAGTCTCCAAATTTCTGTAGCATTCCCTCTTTTTTCTTAGTGGCCAAGTTTATGCTAACTGTGGATACCTGACTCCGTAAAGAGTATGTTTTCTTAGATGATGGATTTCTTAGAAAATACACAATTTTTGTTATTGTTGATGAGGCACATTAGAAGGAAATAGTTATAGCCACGCCTGAATTACAGAGGCCAGACCCAGGTTATGAATTCTCAGGCAGAAACTTCAGATTAAATATATAAGAAGAGGGATGAAAGTACCAGAGATTCGCGAAATTGGTGTGACAGACAGAGTGCTAAGTCAGAAGTGAACACAACAAAAGGAGCCTGCAACTGGCCAGCTGCTAAATTAGATGAACAGGAAACAGAAGATAAGTGAGTTATGATTGGACAAAACTGGATTTCTGGATAACCACTAATCAAATTGGACACCTTTATTTTTATATTCTACTTTATAAATGTAAATATTGAAATGGTCAATTTTGGACAAATTAAAAGACAAACCTTTTGTTCCTTTTTGAGAGGAGAATTTCTATGCTCAGAAACAGGGGACTTCGAATTAGTTCTGGGTGTAGCATTCTTCTTATTTTCGTATTTCACCAAGCCCTAAAGATAATCAATTTCATCACTGGTTAATTTGTTGACAATATTTCCTTTCTCTGTGATTATAAAAAAAAAGAATTGTTCCTCCCCAAGGGGCAATTTTGACCCCAGGCATAACGGGCAATGTCTGGACATACTTTTGGTTGTCATTTCTGGGGGAAAGGAGGGTTTCATTGGCAGCTAGTGGGTGAAGGCCAGGAATGCCACTAAAGCCCCACCATGCACAGGATATTCTTCCAAACCAAAGAAGTATCTAGTTCAAAATGTCAATCGTTCTAAAGCTGAGAAACCCTAACTGAAGGTATGAAATTTTTTCCCCAACTGTACTGAGATGTTATTGACATATAACATACATAAGTTTAAGATATATGTGATGATTTAATACACATACAGCAAAATGATTGAAAGTATGAATTTTTCACACAGAATATAATGAAATATGAACTAAATGAAAAATAGAAGGCATGTAACATCTTTTATTTGAATTCCATCTCTAACATACATCACAGCAATATACCTATCTTTCCCTAACTCTCAAATCATGCAGAGCATCTATGTTTAAGACCTCTGAAATTTGGCAGCATTGAAAACAAAATAAAACAAAAACAAAAATCTTCAGTAGAAATACAGGCAAACTGTGGAAGTAAAATATAATCTATCTTCCCTACTAAATATAGGCAGGACATCTTATTCCTCTTTTATACCCATACCCTCACTTAGGACAAACCCTTCTGTACTATATTAACTGAATTGAACTGGTATAAATCCTCATTAAACCAAAGATGATATGCATACATGGGAAAAAAGGCAAGAAGATAAGCAAAGAAAGAATAACAACTGAACCCCAGAATTCGAGTTACAAAGTAAAAGCTATAAGAGTTATAAGAAGTTGCCTCTAAAAGGGGGAACACAGATGCTAATCATGGGAAGCAAATGAAAAAGACTTAACTCCATCACACTTGTGGTATTCAGTAAACAGCTCTTTGAGTCTTCACTGGATTAGAATATAGCACCACATAAATGATTTTCATGAGGATCTTACAACACTCAGTTAATTATGGCAGTAAAGAGCTAGGAAAATCAGCTAAAATTTTTAAGTTTCTACATGACTTATCTGCAACAATCTATATATCTTTTCTGAAATACACATGGTGAGTATATGCCAATAATAAACTAAATAAAATAATTGTATTTTAACCCTCTGAGTATACAACCAGTTTTTCCTTTCTTCTTGAAAAAAAATGAATCAATGAAAAGTCAATTTAACATAGATGATGGTATTAAAATACTTAGTATTTGAATGGTATCTAATATGTGTTAAATATAAATTGAATAAATACATATTAAAGATTAACTAAGGCTCTACAAAACAGTCTCTGAAGGTGTTCTAGGTGTAGCAGGAAATATGCTAAATTATATTCGTTTAGCAAATTTATTACCTGACAGAGAGCCTCAGGTGTATGGTTAATACTATTTCTGCTCTTCCACCAGCTTGAAAATATACTAGTCTTTAAAGGAGTAAAAACAAGAAGTTGGAGAAAAAGTTATTATGCTAGAGAGTTTATAATTAATTTTGAACTTAAAATACTTTTAAAATAAATATGATCATTTATTATGTATCTACCACATGAGTAGCAAAAGCTAATAAGCATTTTAAATATATAACTAATCTTTTTTTCTCCAAAGTAGGAAATTTAAGGATCAGAAAGTTTATGACATGTCAAAACTGCATGACTCAGATATAGGTTTGGTGACCCTACAACCAGGAAGCTACAATGAGAAGTAAATAGTCTTTAGCCTACTACTACACAGAGGCCCTAATTTTAATATACTGGCTGTTAAAAACAAATAATTTTTCTTCTAAAACCTGCTATGACCACACAAACCTAAGATTTTAGTTAAATGAGATTATACTCAAGCAAATCAGCTCCAGTTTCTCTAATTTCTTTATAACCCTTTTCTTATCCATTGGAAGAAAGTGACTAAGTTTGAACAAGATTAGTATATTAAAACAGCTCTCCACTATGACCCACCATCACTTGATCTATCATAGCTTCACTGAAACAAGGGATAAACTATGTATTTTTATATCCATAAACTTTCTATTTGAGGACTATAAACTACAGTGATATTCCAAAAGAGTATGAAATATGCCTTAAATTTTGATTTTAGTCTCTGAACAGTGTTTATAATCAGGAGGGCAATGTAACAGTATTTATATATATTGTAACTGAGCTTCATCATTATAAGTGTTGCTTTTTAAAATCACCTATTAGTTAAGTATTTACCTCCTCCATTTCATTACTCTTCATCTTCCGGGCCTTGGAAATCTTAACTGTTACTGGTGAGGTACAGTCAGGGTGCTTCACTGTCATATCTTTTGGCCGTAAAGGTGTAAATTGAATCTCTAACTCAGGTTTTGGGAATCGAGTAGTTTGATTACTTTCTGTTGACACTTCACAAGATTCAAGAAGTACAGATCCATCCTACAACAGAATTTAAAAAGAAAACAAATCTTATCTACAGAATATTAATTTATAAATCACAAAGGATTAATTCTCCAAGATACCTATTAAAGATAATGAATTATAGAAGACAAAAATTTGCCAGAGCAAGAACAGAAAGATTGAGTTACATCTACCCTTTCCAACTTTACACATGTTAAGGGGAAATTTAAGAGATTAGTAGTTCCCAAACTTCTAGGATCATAAGAACTACCTAAAGAATTTGTTTTAAAGAGTCTTGGACCCTACTACAAATTACTAAATCAGAAATTTCCTAGGGAAGAGTAGGATTTTCAGTAACCACTCTAATTATGGTATATCAAACTTTGCTGCAAATTCTCTACTACTCTTACCTTGAGAGATGGAGTCTCATTCCCATTTCCTAAATCTGGGCTGGTCATAACAACTTCTAGGTCCAAGAAAATGTGGTGGAAGTAACATCAGGGTTTTTCTGAGGCTCAGTCAAAAGAAGTCATGTAACTTCTGCCCTGTATTAGTCTCCAAGGCCAATACCAATTATTTGGTATTTCTACCAAAAGCTATCAGAAAAGGCCAAAGTAAAAGGAATGGCTTGTGTTCTTTCCCCAGATTAAAATGTCCTTCTATTCCTGCTCTGTTTGGTAAAATTCTATTCACCTTCCAGACCTACTATGATGTTACCCTCTCTAATCCACGCCCACAGCCACGGAGGTGAAATTCATATCCTCCTCAGTGTTTCTTCTCAGCATTCTCTTTGAAACATTTAGCCCATATGGAAAACTCAAATAAGGCAGTCATTTAATTCAGGTATCTGTCTTATTAGATTCTTTACTTCTGGAGGATGGTGATCATGTCTTATTTATGCTTGTAACCTCAGTGTTGGCAATATTCCCAACACTAAATGCTAAATGCTCCCCATGTTTAAAAAAACAAAATTTGAAAAGTAATTTTATCTTTAAACCTTTAAGTGACATAGAACTTTTATCTATTCCATACAAAACCTGAGAATCCCTATATTAACCAAAGTGATTCACAGAACCCTAGGCCCAGTGCAAGTTAAGAAAACTCACTGTGAACTATTGAAATTTGGCCACAATTTCAAAAAAAAATACGATTTAACAGCATCTTTAATAAAGGGACCTCTTAGAGGGCAAATATTCATCCATTTTATCTTTTGTGGGATTTTCTATTTCTGACAACCAAGTTTATTTATATTAACAAACCTGCTGTTTGAGATCAATGTCATTTTGAGAGAAAATTAACATCATTTAGGAACCTAATCTCCCAAAAGAATTTCAACTCTCCTCAAAAGCCTTTAGTTTTACTTCCCACAACTCAGAGCACATATAGTTATCTGTACAGCAAGGTACCAACAAGGTACCTACAGGTAACTGATTAAATCATACTTGCAAATGTTATTTCATAATTAATGGTCACTGGTAAAGAAAGTAAAAAAGTGGAACCAATGCCCACCTCTACTTCATTCCTAGAAATTTCAAAACTTGTTGACCGAGGCTCGGTTTCAGTTCCACCAGGATCCACTGAACTCATATTTCTGGGCTTGACATCCATGGTTTGTTTTTCCTAAAGTAAGGAGACATTACAGCAACAATCCACTGTATCTGAAAATGTATTAAAATACTTCATCCAAAGAATATGAAATCAAGGTTTGGGTGGATTAAATAGTGAAAGTAATTAAAGACTTCTTCAAAACCATGTAACCCTTCTTCCTCTTCTGTTTCATCCTCAGAGTCAGGAAAGACTGGGAGACTTTTCATTCTCTTCTGAGTCTGATCTAAAAAGAAATCTGAAAGATAACTTTCAAACTTTCAAGGTGTTTTACATATATTCTCTCAAGTTACTTTCACTGCAACTCTGAGTTAGATTCGGCAAGAACTGCTATTCCTACTTGTCCATCTAGAAAAACTAGAGAAATCTTTGGAATGCAACTATATAGCATTAGTGTAGAAAACTTCATATTGATAATGAAAACTTTTTTCTTGCCACACACTCTTCATCCCACTTTTTCAGTCAAAGGGTATGTTCTAGACCCAAATCCTATTTAAGGGATCTGTAGAAAAATATCAAATAACGTTTTCAACTTCATAAATTTCAACATGGGCCTTCTCACCACTGCCATTGAAATACAAAGTCAAATTCATCTCTTATGTGATCTACCCATTGTTGCCAAATAAGAAATATTTTATTTGATTCATGAGGAAAGTAATATACTGACTTCCACTGTGGTAAAAATTGTGCTGTTTCACAAATGCTGTCAATTAATTTTCACAACTCTATTAGGCAGACATTATTATTTCTGGTTTAGATAAAGTTCAGAAATGTTAAGTAATTTTTCCAAAGGTCCCAAAACCAGAGTGACAGCAGTGATATCTAGTTTTTCCAATTTTCTAGCCTTTGCCATTTATACTACATGCTACCACCTCTTTTTAAGCAGTCTTTCTCTTAGAATTAGGAAGCCTTTTGATGTGAGAGACAGGTAGGTCCATGTACATGTGCACATGCACGCACACACACACACACACATTTATATTCCTATTGCCTGAACGCTATATAAAGCAGCATAATTTTAAGTATAGATCATTTAATTCTGGAAAGATTAGCTTCAGATGTATCCTGATTCAATGTAACTGGGAAGGCGTTATCTGTGAAATGCAATCCTCCCTTCATATAGGGTGCCCAGCCCTAATGGAGTATTACAAAAGTAACTCTTGAATGACTCATCATTGTGCTTATTTTCAGAATAATTCATCCTTCATTCAGTAAACTTAGGGTGAGTCCAAGTATTTAAATATCACCAAGAGTTCAAGTTGAATCACATTTTCACATTTTAAAGGTAGATTAAGGACTACATCACAAATTGCTTATTTTCAATTACTCTGCATGAGATCTACGATCAAAATATTGGAAAGAGTTCTACTTCTCATTTAGTCATTGACAAATCAATCATAATGATAAATTCAGAAGATGCAAAATTCATGAGAAATATCCAAATAATTTTTCAAACTCTGATTCCCTTCTGATTGACTGAAACTTAAGCTTTAATCCTTAGAGTAAATCAATTAAATAATTTTTAAAAATTCCATATATTCAATTTAAAAAGACAGAAAGACTGGGATTCTGACTGTTCCAGAAGCTTCTGATGTGATCTTTTTGAATTGTTCCATTTCATTATCCTTCTGTACGTTATTGGAGATCATGGCTTTCAACTGTACTTCTAAAGCTGCGACCAGCTGATCCCATTCTTCTTGCCACTTTTGAAGGTTACTGTCTTTCTCTGCCAGCTGTGCTGTAAGTATCTCCTAACCACAAAATAGGAAAATGTTGAAGTAAACCTTAGAATCTTAATTAATCTTAGAATTAAAAAATTTTTATTATAAATAAAATAAACACAACTGTGAACAAGATCTGTAACAATTACATAGTCATGTCTAGATAAAATATTCACAAATTACATAGTCAAATATAGGTAACACATAATGCCTTTATTTGTAATGTCCACATTCTGTATTTATCCTTATCTGACTTCATCCAAAAATCAATTTATTACAGTCCTCAGATTAAAGATGGTAGTATGAGAGGTAAGACAAAGGCCACCTCACAAAACCACATAAAATAGGAAAATACAGTTAATACAACAAATCCTAAAAGAACAATAGGAAAGAAGGCTGAGACAGACTGCATATACCTGGAGAAAAGAACAGAACTCATGGAACAGGGTAATGTACCAAAGCCGTGATCCAGCAGGACCCAAGCCCTTCCCCACCACAGCTCACTGGTGGGAGGAAGAGAAACAGAGCAGGGAGGGAGTGGAAGCCTAGGACTGCTGAACACCCAGTCCTGGAGATCTGCTCTGGGAGCATGAGCCTACACTGCAGGGTGCTCTGGAGATTAGTGGGGTTGGAAAGCTAAGACACATGGAATACTTGGAGAGACTGAGATTCCAGCCACTTGTAGAAAAGAGGGATCCACACCCAGATGCTCTGGGACAAAAGAAAGGCAGACAGTCTGAGAGACACTTACTAACAACAAGAGGGCTGCGAAAGAGGCAAGGATTGCATAGAGCTTGCTGCTCAGGACAAAGGGCAGTGGACAATATTGTCTGGGTGCACTCTGCCCAGCAGGTTGGGAACTTTCAGAAGCTTCAGGCACTCTATCCCCCGAACTGGCTACACAGCTCCAAGGCCCCCCACAATGATACGCAGCCTGCTGCGCCTTCCTCTGGGCCGGCACTAGCATGTAAACCAGCAGTCCTTGCCCTGGCATCAGGCCAGTGAGTGAGAAACCGCACCTATACTAGCTACAAGCACATAGAGAGCTATATGCTTGTGCACTTGGCCCATTGGTATGGTGGTGGAGACAGGAACAGCAGCCAGGAAGCAAGAAACAGCTCTTCCCTAACCCCAGGCAACAGCATTGCTCCCCCATGACCTCCAACATTGCTCCAGGGACTGAACAGCTCCACAGAGTAGAGCTTCTGGGCACTAGAGAGTGCCACATAAAAATATGAAATGTCAAATGAACCTGGTTCAAACCAAAATCCCACCAACACCAGAAAAAGCACCAAGTGAAACAGAAATCATCAGTCTTCCAGAAAGAGATTTTAATATAAAATTCATAAGTGTGCTCCTGCACATACAGAAAAAAATTCAGGAACTCAGGGTAGAATTAAGGACTGAGATTCACTCATTAAGGAATATAATATGTGAAATGAAAAATACAATGGAGGGATTTAAAAGCATATTAGATATAGTAGAGGAGACAGTAAATGAAACAGAAATTAGAGAAGAGGAATACAAAGAAGCTGAGGCACAGAGAGAAAAAGGATCTCTAGGAATGAAAAGAATATTGACAGAACTGTATAGCCAATCCAAATGGAACAATATTCGCATTATAGGGGTATCAGAAGAAGTAGAGAGAGAAAAAGGGAAAGAAAGTGTCTTTGAGGAGGTAATTGCTGAAAACTTCCCCAATCTGGTGAAGGAGATAGTTTCGCAGGCCATGGAGGTGCACAGATCTCTCAACACAAGGGACCCAAGAAAGACAACACAAAGACATATAGTAATTAAAATGGGAAAGATCAAGGATAAGGACAGACTACTAAGCAGCCAGAGAGAGAAATAAGATCACATACAAAGGAAAGCCCCCATCAGGCTAACATCAGACTTCTCAGCAGAAACCTTACAGGATAGAAGGGAGTGGCATGATGTATTTAACGCAATGAAGCTGAAGAGCCTGGAACCAAGACTACTTCATCTGGCAAGATTATCATTTAAATTTGAAAGAGGGATTAAATGATTTCTAGATAAGCAAAAGTGGAGAGAATTTACCTCCCACAAACTATCTCTACAGTTTATTTTGGAGTGACTGCTATAGATGGAAGTGTTCCTAAGGCTAAATAGCTGTCACCAGAGGAAATAAAACTACAGTAAAGAGAGTAGAACAATTAATTTAAAGAGATTCAAAATCAAATCAACTACCCCCAAAGTCAGTCAAGGGATAGACAAAGAATGCAGAGTATGATACTTAATATATAAAGAATAGAGGAGGAAGAAAAAGGAGAGGGAAAAAAAGCAACTTTAGGTTGTGTTTGTAATAGCATACTAATTGAGTTAAATTAGACTGTTAGATAGTAAGGAAGTTACTCTTGAACCTTTGGTAACCACTAATCTAAAGCCAGCAATGGCAATAAGTACACACTTATCGATAATTACCCTAACTGTAAATGGTCTAAATGCACCAATCAAAAGAGATAAAGTCACTGAATGGATAAAAAAAAGAAGACCTGTCTATATGCTCACTCCAAATGATAGTTCAACCAGACAGAAAATAAGGAGACAAAGGCATTGAACAACACATAGAACAGTTGGACCTAAACGACATCTACAAAACACTCCACCCAAAAGCAGCAGGATACACATTCTTCTCAAGTGCATATGGAACATTTTCAAGAATAGATCATATACGAGGCCACAAAAGGAGCCTCAGTAAATTAAAAAAGACTGAAATTGTACCAACCACCTTCTCAGACCACAAAGGTTTGAAACTAGAAATAACTTACTCAAAGGAAACAAAAAAGCCCACAAACACAGGGAGGCTTAACAACGTGCTCCATTAAATAATCAATGGATCAATGACCAAATAAAAACAGAGATCAAGAATATATGGAGACAAATGACAATAATAATTCAACACAGCAAAATCTGTGGGACACAGCAAAGGCCGTGCTATACTGCAATACAGGCCTACCTCAGGAAAGAAGAACAATCCCATATGGACAGTCTAAACTCACAATTAATGGAACTAGAAGAAGAACAAATAAGGCACAATGTTAGTAGAAGGAGGAACATAATAAAGATTAGAGCAGAAATAAATAAAATCAAGAAGGATGAAACAATAGAAAGAGTCAATGAAAGCAGGAACTGGTTCTTTGAGAAAATAAACAAAATAGATAAACCCCTAGCCAGACTTATCAAGAAAAAAAGAGAGTCTACACACATAAACAGAATAAAAAATGAGAAAGTAAAAATCACTATGGACACCACAGAAACACAAAGAACTATTAAAGAATACTATGAAAAATTATATGCTAAGAAACTAGATAACCTAGTAGAAATGGATAACTTTCTAGAGAAATACAACCTTCCAAGGCTGACCCAGGAAGAAACAAAAATATTTGAACAGACCAATTGCCAGCAATGAAACTGATTTGGTAATAAAAATCTACCTAACAAAAACCCCTAGACCAGATGGCTCCACTGCTGAATTTTATCAAACATTTAGTGAAGACCTAGTGTGCATTCTCCTTTCAGTTTTCCAAAATGTGGAAGAGGAGGGAGTACTCCCAAACTCATTCTATGAGGCCAGCATCACTCTAATACCAAAACCAGACAAAGACATCACACAAAAGAGAAAATTACAGACCAATATCACTGATGAACATAGATGCAAAAATATTCAACAAAATATTAGCAAACCAAATTCAAAAATATGTCAAAAAGATCATCCATCATGATCAGGTAGAATTTATTCCAGGGATGCAAGGATGGTACGGTATTTGAAAATTCATCAACATCATATACTACATCAACAAAAAGAACAAAAAGCATATATCATCTCCATAGATGCTGAAAAAGCATTTGACATAATTCAACATCCATTCATGATAAAAACTCTCAACAAAATGGGTATAGAGGGCAAGTACCTCAACATAATAAAGACCATATATGACAAATCCACAGCCAACATCACACTTACCAGCAAGAAGCTGAGAGCTTTTTAAGATTGGGAAAAGACAAAGATGCCCACCCTCCCCACTTTTATTCAACATAATTCAGGAGGTCCTAGCCATAACAATCAGACAACATAGAGAAATAAAAGGCATTCAGATTGGTAAGGAAGAAATTAAATTGTCACTGTTTGCAGATGACACAATAATGTACATTAAAAAACCCTAAAGAATTCCCTCCAAAATTAACAGATCTAATATCTGAATTCAACAAAGTTGAAGGATACAAAATTAATGCACAGAAATCTGTTGCATTCCTGTATACTAACAATGAACTAGTGGAAAGAGAAATCAGGAAAACAATTCCATTCACAATTGCATCTAAAAGAATAAAACACCTAGGAATAAACCTAACCAAGGAAGTGAAAGATCTATACTCTGAAAACTATAAGACACTATGAGAGAAATTATAGAAGACACCAATAAATATAAATACATCCCATGCTCTTGGACAGGAAGAATTAATATTGTCAAAACGGTCATCCTGCCTAAAGCAATATACAGATTCAATGCAATCCCTATCAAAATACCTACAGCATTCTTCAACAAACTGGAACAAATAGTTCTAAAATTCATATGGAACCACAAAAGACCCCGAATAGCCAAAGGAATCCTGAGAAGGAAGAATAAAGCAGGGGGGATCTCACTTGCCAACTTCAAGCTCTACTACAAAGCCACAGTAATTAACACAATTTGGTACTGGCTACTGGCACAAGATCAGACCCACAGACCAGTGGAGCAGAATAGAGAGTCCAGATATTAACCCAAACATATACGGTCAATTAATATGCAATAAAGGAGCCATGGATATACAATGGGAAAGTGACAGCCTCTTCAACAGCTGGTGTTGGCAAAACTGGACAGCTACATGAAAGAGAATGAAACTGGATCATTGTCTAACCCCATACACAAAAGTAAATTCAAAATGGATCAAAGACCTGAATGTAAGTCATGAAACCATAAAACTCTTAGAAAAAACACAGGCAAAAATCTCTTGGACATAAACATGAACAA